TAAATATGTATAGCGTCCGTGTAAAGTTTGTTCTGTTCGTGTAAAGTTAGTATCTCTACATCTTGGATAATGCTTCGAAAAATACCACACATGCCTTAAATATTTAATGCCTTTGTTTTCTGTTCCGTAAGACCATAACTGAACCAATCATTGAATTGGTAGTAAACTGTAGAAAACTCAACGTTGGTAATTGTTTCGTTACAATCTCAGAAAATGTGCTACGTACTATTTCATAACGATTAGAATATGTTCCACATTGGGTGAGAAAATTAAAATTCATAGAATAAGAATAATTATCAAAACGTTGTTTTTCTTAAATGTAAATATAGTATTATACTCCATAATGGTTCAAAAGAGCCTATAGAATCTAAAAGTACATTTCTTTTTTTTTTTTTTTCATTAAATTATCTTTCATTCCTTAAAAGTTATTCAACGGTGCTAGTACAAACGCGCCTATTGTGTACATTTGGCGGCAAAGGGGAAAGTCTCTTCAGCGATGACGAATTCGAACGCAGGATGAACGGAGCGCCGCCAGCAAAAGCCATAGCATTTTTCAGTACTAAATCTGAACAGCGTCACCGCTTTGCGCGGCGGTAAAACAATCGAGCGTCAAACCTTTCAGCTACGAGTGTTGTGAATACTTTACTGGCTCACTGTTCGCTGTACATATACAGTAGAACCTTCCTCGTGCGAACTAATTGTAGAACAATCGTGCATGGATAACAGAATTTTCGTACGAATTGAACAACAAGTGGTTGGGGGCGATATTTTAATTAAATACTTCAGACGAAATTTTCTGGAAATTTGGAGTGACACACAATTTTATGATCATGAATATTCATGAACGTAAGTTTGCACTTTGTCGACTAAATCGTTTGCAATTTTTCGTGAAATGACTTCATTCTAATACGCTATTACTTACCAAGTTTCGAAAGAATCAATTGAGTATTGCGGAAGTTAGAAATATTTTGCGAAAATTTCGTATGACAGATAATTTTGTATTTTCGAAAAATATTTATAACTCTTTCAAACTCAACTAATGTCACTAAAAATTGCAAACGATTTGATCGTGGAAGTGTGAACTTATGATCGTAAATATAAGCCCTTGTAAAATTGTGTGCCACACGAATTTTCATAAAATATTTATAATTATAAAATTCAATGTATTCTTTTAAAAATGGAAACGCTTTTGATTGAGGAAGTGCGGAACTTACGATCATAAATATGCGTCCCTGTAAAATTGTGTCACCTAAAATTTGTGAAAAATATTTACAATTCCAGCAAATCTCAATGGATTTTTTTTGAAAATTGTGGGTAATAGCGTGTCTATATCACTAAAAGTTGCAAACAATTTCATCGAGGAACGCCAAACTTATGACCAATAATATGCCACTGTACAACGAATGTTCAGAAAATGATTCTATCGCATTGCAAAATGCCATGTTATTGATATCCATATTCTACGAGTTATAGAAGCTTAAGCAACGCCACACTATTGTGCGTAGCTCGTGAAAATTGTGCTGTTAGCCACGTGTTATGAGAAAAAGCTTCAATACTACGAATCGGAACGCACGATCAAACCGAGCACCGCCAACAAAAGCGTTGGCGCTATAGCCGTCGAGCGTCAAACCTTTCATTTGAGAGCGTTACGAATACTTTCGTGGGCCATTGTGTAAACGATAATGGACGTTAGAACGCTACGGTGTTCAAAATCGCCAAAAACTTGGCCTAAAGTCAAATTTTCAACTCTACTCATCTATTCTGTTCTTATCTATTTTCTACTGTCTATATTATTTATATATGTGTATATATTATATTATATTATATTTATATATTATATTTATCTTGGTAATTATTTTCATGCAATGTGCTTCTTGTAAGACACCTGTAATTTGTCACAGAAGCTTCGAAAATAAGGTCATTCTTTACCCTGGGCAGAAACTAATATCAGAATCAGATTATACGCCCTTAAAAACATAGAAATCATTATAATCGTGAAAAATAATGAATTAACAATTATAAGGTTAGTTGTTAAGGATAGTTCTGTATATAAGGTAGTTCTTTCTATAGGCAGAAAATAATATCAAAATCGGATTGTTTGACACCAAAATTCTCGAGACCATTCTGATGGTGATAAACAATTCATTAATAATTATAAGGGTAGTTCTTAAGGGTAGTTCTGTATCCTATAGGCAGAAAATAATATCAAGATCGGATTGTTTTACACCGAAACCATCGAGACAATTCTAATGGTGATTCATAATGGTGAACAATTCATTAATAATTATAAGGGTAGTTGTTATACGTAGTTTCTTACGAACTACCATTTGCACTCACCTCGTCATAAATAAAATTATCAATCTCCTCCAGGGGCCTGCCGTACAGCTCAGTCGGAAAAGGCTCAAACTTATTTGGAAGCACCGCGCCATCCTCAACAGACATCCTCCTCTTCGGTTGGAACCCATAGTCCCTCACCAGCTGGACAGTCCTGTTCTCCAACCTATCCAGACTCTCCTTCGTGAACAACTTCACCGTCTGCTTGTGTCCAGTCGGCGTCCTGGCCGCCTTCCCCCCGTTTTCCCCCTCGCTGGCCAGCTTCCTCCCCAAAACCTCCTCAGGATTCACCTTAGGTGTCCCCGGAGGATCCACCTGGATCTCCGCGCTTCCGCTGTCGCCTGTTCCGGAATCAGCAGAGGCTCCCGCAGTGGCGATCAGAGGAGGTCTCAACCTTGCGACCGTGGACCTCGAAGGGCCCTCCGACGTCTCGATATCCGCATCAGGATCATCCTTGCGTCTTCTCTGTCTCAAAGAAGTCGAGCCTGGAGACGCGGAAGCTTTTTCTGACTCCGCTTTAAACCTATCCTGGAGTCTCAACTGATCCTCGTACATCGTAAACTCGAGTTCGGCGTCCAGGATCGATCCTCTGGATTGTTTATGTTTCGTCTCTTCGGCATAGGACGCGAGAGGGTAGCTGAGGAAAATCGGCGAGGGGGTTTCGTTGTCGTACTCGTACTGAGGGGGCTTGTCAACATCCGGAGGCGAGGACTCGCTGGTCTCGCTCGCGGGGGAGACCAGGATGGAGGCAGAGGCTGAAGCTCGAGAGGAAGATGCATCTTTCTTCAGGATGTAATCGCTAGTGGATATTCTGGGGTCGGTTCTGGTCGCATCCTGCCACGAGGCCTCTTGGTCGCGCGGAAACTCGAGGATGGACTCTCTAAAGGAGCGACACTCGAGCCTGCCGCGTTCGTCCTGAGCCTGATGGTCTCTGGATCCATGTTCGCGTCTCGAGAACTCGTTGAACGTGGTCCTAGGCTCGTAACGAAACTCTCCTCTCCTCGATGGCTGAGGTGTTCTCGATATTCCGATTCTAGAGCGATCGAGGAGCTCGAATTCCTCCGTGGGTAGGTTCAGACTTCGCTGGCTGCCTATCTCCTGGGGCGACTTGTCGAGAATGTCTCTGGATCGAGCACCCTCTCCGGCCGAGAACCGAACGAGCTCTTCTCTGGAGAGGTTCGCGTACAGGCCCGCCACTCGAGGTCGATTAGTGAAGCCATTGTCCTCGGAGCCGTTACTCGGAGGATTCTGAGAAGCTTTGCATTCCTCACGGCCAGCTTGCGAGGGTATCATTGGAATCTCTGGGTCCACCGCTTACCGAAATTCGTAGCTTTCATCGTTGCGAGGCTTCCACGCTTCGATTCTCTCAGTTGGGAACGGGCTCGGCGTCGATTCGCCATGAACCTGACCGCAGCGAACGCATCGTTCTGTGTATCGAACATTCCACGCTCATGGGACCACGCTTTGTTCGTTTGTCGAGGGTCAAAGGGCGAATCGACGTGAATGTGTGTCGCAGAGGGTGTATATAGGTTCTTTTTTCGTCGATGACGATCGTGTTGCTATGACGCGTTTCGACTGAAGGGAGCGAGAGAAGGAGAGGTGTATGGAAAGTGACAGCGTGCAGAGAGAGAAGGGTAAACAGAGGCCTCTAATCTGGCCTATCCTGCAGCAGCTCCTGGATATCGCTCGCACACGACACCGAGGTTACTCGCATCGCACTTGGAAATTCAATCGGGATACGTGGTACCAAGGAAAATATACAACGGGACGAATAAAACAAATTTACTTCTGGTCACTTTGCACACCACTCGCGAGCCATTGCAGCCTGTTTTGCCCGAGAATCCTCGAAAACTGGCATAAGAGAAGGAATGTAACCAGCGGTGCGAGAAGGTGTTGGATTTATGGGGCTGCAATGAGAATAGAAAATGAATGGTGCATATACGAGCACGAATAGGAATAGGTGAGAAGGAAATAAAAGGTTGTAGCTGGAAGGGAGAGAAGAGAAAGACGGAAACGAAAACGAAGGAAAGTAGGTAAGGTACACCCTCGTGTTCGATTAGTTGTGAGTTCGACAAGGGTGCAAAATCACGGAACGTCTTCGACGAGAACTGTGACGATACTATGGTAGAAGTCGATTCGTTTCGCGCGCGCGCGTATCGAACGCCCGAGGAAAACGGCTGTGGGGTCTCTCGGTGTCTGCACGAGCGAATTTGTTTCAATACAGTGACACCCCTGCGCATGTACATGCACGCTACCGCGAAACTAACTAGCGAGCCAACCTGCAGGAATATTCCTCGTCGCGGTTGACGCTATCCCCCCACCACAGGTGGAACTTACCCTTACACGTGATATTGGGTGCATTGGGAAAAGGTACCGCTCGCTGAATCGCTCTGCGAGCGGTGAGGTTGCAAGTTATAAGGGTAGCAAACACGGGGTTCGCTCTCCCTGGCAGTAGGCAACCGCTAGAGTAGGGTGATACAGGTTTTAGAACTACGGGCGCCATCGGTGGCGAAATGCTCAAGTTTTTGGTGAATACAGTTTACGGGTTTTGCTGTTGGATGGTGCTACTAACTAAAGGGTCGATCATTATTGCTGCTTACGGGGTTACACTACTTTGCCTCTATGAATTATCAGGCTTTTTCAAGAATTTTTATTGAAGCCATAACAAGATTTTACTTGCATTGGATTACATTAATGTATTGTATAAGTATTCAACTAGACTAGAAAAAGGAGATTACTCAAATCAACATGTATTTCTTTTTTGTACGAAAGTAAAACTTTCGTTTAAAATACTTTTTCAAAGGATCACTTTTTTTTTGGACAGAATTAAATATTAGCTAACTTTTAGTTTGTGGTTTTCTGCGGATGACCGACGCCTTCTACAGAATCTTACGAGGGTAACAATCGTACCGATTGCGATAGTAATTAGTATACAGACCACAGTAGTGAGAAATACAATGATGTCCATGTCGTTGCGTTGGTACCAGGGTTGCCTAGTTAGGCTGGAGTGTAAATGAGGGACACCTTTGTGACGAATCACGTACTCCGTCCACCAAGCAAGGTGCTCCATCGAATTATACGGAACGTCTTCAATGGTGTTTTTTATTTCGATCATTTTCTCCTTATACCTGGAAAACGCGATAAGGTTTCAGTCAGTAGGAGAATTCTATCATAAATGTTTAAATCGATACCATATCGAGATAGTAAAATTATATTACACGTTTAATGCAAAGACGAGATTTAAAACAGGTCACCTGGATGATAAATTTACTGTTAGCAATAGAAAAAAGAGATCGATCAACAATTATACCAATGTTTTTCGAGAAAGTAATATTTCCGAACATGAAAAGTTGAGAATAAAATTTAAATAAGTAATCGTGAGGTGTTTTTCTATGTTTTAATATCTATTGAGTAGATCAACTGAATATTAGTTTCTGACGATAGTTAAATTAATTATTAACAAGACTTATTATTTAAACAACGATGGGAAATATAATTTTGCTGTGATATTAATGTTTCGTGAATTATTTTCTCGATAAATACAACGAGCCTTCGAAGCGACCATATGTCACGCGGTTGTTGTCCACCCTTCCCTTTCTCTACTTCGAGAGGCACAAAGCAAGCTACTTTGATTCAACTTTGATTCCTTCTATCTCCGGGTCTCCAGTCGCAGCAACCTCCACGTGGTGAGACCCGGTAATCGGTATTATTCGTGACGAACAATACTTCGTCACGAGTAATATCGAGAGCTAATAGTTGCGAACTTGTAAAGTGTAAAGTGCAAAAGTGTAAAGTGTAAAGTGAAATTAGATTTAGATTAGCTCATTCATCCTTCCATCCTTGAGTCGGTATGGATTACGTTTACCTTCTGTTAGTTATGATCTCACGAATGGCTGCCTCCAAATCGTTTCTATTCAGAGTAGTGAGATCCATCCGCTTTCCTAACCCAAGAGCTTCCATTCTCTTAGCTTGGTACATCTGATCTGAAAACACTGGGAACCCCAAAACAGGAACTCCAAAATGCATAGCCTCTTGGGTGCTTTGCAGGCCTCCTTGATACATGAACAGCTTGATCTTTCGATGCGCTAAACAACAAAATCTTAATCAACAAAGAAGACCAACGAACACAATAATACTTTAACGCGATCTAGTGGAACGCGAACGCACCGAGAATGCTCGGCTGATGGAACCATGGCGCGGTGAAGATGTTGTCCAGTTTCCTCGGCAACTGCTTCTCGTATTTCCACACCACCTTGTACGGCAACCTGCCTAAAACGTCGAGGAGCACCTGTATCGTCTCCGGCGGTAATTGGAAGCTCAGTATCATGCTACCAAGGCTAAAGTAGATAAATCCTTCTGAAGCATCGTCGAGGAATCGTTCCAAATCCTGCAACGAGGGCAGTTTATTTAAACGCGTGGCGGTGGTAAGAGTCGAAAGTTACGAGATAGGGATCGCGGAACTTTTACCTGGGGGCTAGGATGTTTAATTAATTGCTGAGTACAGTGATTAGAAAAGATAAAACTGGCGATGGAACCTACCTCTGGCAGTTGGTTGAGGTTTGTCTCTGGATAGGTCAAGGTGTATGTGATCATATTGGCGAGTCTTGGCTTAGCAGGAGTGATGGCGTCGATCTGATTGATAAACACGAGGCTCATGTTCTTCTCTATATCGAGCAGCGACGGTAAATCATTTCCTAGGTATTGGTTCATTATTTTCTGTTGGTTGGCTATAAGAATGTTGTAAGAGTCGAACACGTAGTTCCACATGTTCAAGAAATTTTGTAATCTCTGCCAGAAGGACAAATTCGGGCCTTCGATCCCTTCCATTTCCCAGGTACTCTCGTGTGAAGGGAGCACCAGGCCACCGAGGATGTGCTCGTGAACCGCAAGAATTCCACACGAGACAACCCCTGTAATCAAGACAATTGTGATTCGTTTGAAGAAATTGTTGCTAATTTTTCTACGTTTCCAGTTACTCGGGATAGCGCATATGGTTCGCATTAACAGATAATTATTTTCCATTCAGAAACCTTTTCTCGTCTCAAAATGAGAACCAAGCGACTTCATACCATGTCCTCCACTCTTGCAGAAACAGAACCAGACCGTCACACTTTTCGAAATAAAATTGCAACACGAGAAGATCGCAAGAATCTTAAACGAATTGCGATTCGATTTTATAAAGTCTCGACCGATCCGAAGAATTGAAATCGGTACGTCATTGAAAACTCGAGTCTACGAACAATTGAAGCCTCGCTTACAATTAGTATCGCCCCATGAAACAACTCCGAAAGCCTAAACTATGATATTACTCCATCCTCTGTGTAATATTATTAAATTTAATCTTTGAAACTGTCCTCCAGAATAATCCACCAAGAGACTGAATGGTCGATAAAAAGAGGAACGATACATACCAATCAAGGGCGCGTTGAATCTATGCGCGAGGGCGAAGACGGCTGGCGAAATAAACGCTTGAATCATGACGACGTCGAATTTTGCGTCGCTGTCCGGCGCGTACAACTTCCGCACCTCTGAGTTATTGTATATTTCATGCGCGAAATTATCACCTAGACCAAATATATCTGTCTTCTGTAATGTTAGCCAGTTGACTTTGCTGAACCGACGCTGAACGAAATTGTACCGGTCAACTATGCCGTAGGATTTCGAGATATCGATCTGAACGAAGCTCGTCGTATTCATATTTGGGATTGGATTCGTTGTGACGAGGACAATGTCGTGGCCTCGTTTGTTCAGTTCCATCCACAGGGGTTTAAATGCACGATTATGGCTGTAGGAAGGTGTTGGAATGACCGCAAGAATCCTGGCGCACTGTACTTCCTCCGCAAGAAAGAATAAGCACATAAGTGATATTATAATTGCAACAATCAGCTTCATGTCGAAGAATATAACACTGCTAAAATAGAAATCAAGAATGTATCTTTATTTGAACTGTAAGATTATTCGCACGTTATTTTTTTTTTTTTTTTGTGTGTGTGTATAAGCAGGAAAAGTTGTTTGTTGGATAAAGTATCGTACACCGCTGAACCCGTGTCGACTTCGGTGTAATTTCCGCAAGTGAATTGGCTTCTAGACGTACCCCACGGTTGTATTTATATCTGGCAACAATAAACATGAAAATTAATATAAAATTGGTTTGCAATAAATTCTACATTCGACACGCCTTTCGAATACATTTGAATAGGTTGTTGCGCAATTTCGAAGGCCTCGACAAGCGATTGTTCAATCGAGGACTCGACAAACTTTCGCTAAAGATAAACAAGCAAAGTTACGTAAAAAAAATATACATAGCAAACGGTTCTACCCGCGTGGTCTACATTATTCTTATTCTATACAGGGTGAGTCCGAAGAAACAGAACACCTAAATATCTCCGTTAGATTTCGTTGTACAAAAAGACTTCTTAGGACAAAGTTACACTATTTGAAGGGCCACGTGTAACGGTGTGAGGGAAAAAATTTTCAAGCTTTCTTTTTTTTTTTTTATAAAATTTCAAGGACATCGATGTTTTTTTAAACGGAATGATATATTTTCGTTAACGTAATGCTGTAACTGACAAAATAACGAATTCATCCGTCTACTACAATATGACCTACAAATGACCTTCAACTCAGAAAAATAGAATAAATAAAATTCAACGTGTAAGTTTCATTTGCTTTATTCCTGTTACGCAAAATATTCAAAAATATTCCCTTTAGCTGCTATATACATTTATTTAGCCGTGAAGTTGCAGAACGTACTGCTGTGTAATTCATTTCTGAGGGAATCAACGCACAAGACCTGACGATTCTTTCTTTCATCTCGTCTACGGTGGTTGGTGGTTCTTGATAAACATCGTCTTTCAGTTTTCCCCATAGATAGAAATCAAGGGGTGTAAGATCTGGTGAGCGAGCTGGCGATAATACGGGTCCTGTTCTGCCGATCCAACGATTTGTAAACTTGTTATTTAAGAATTGTGTTACGACACGGGAAGAATGGGTTGGCCAGCCGTCATGCTGATACCACATATCTTTACGAATGTCCAAGCGTGTATTTTAAAGAAGAATATATTTATCTGCATTTAATGTTCCGGTGATAAAGTGAGGCTTAATCATTTGGTTGTTTAAAATTCCGCACAAATTAAGCAAATGAATCTTACACGTTGAATTTTATTTATTCCGTTATTCTGAGTTGAAGGTCATTTGTAGGTCATATTGTAGTAGACGGATGAATTCGTTATTTTGTCAGTTACAGCATTACGTTAACGAAAATATATCATTCCGTTTAAAAAAACATCGATGTCCTTGAAATTTTATAAAAAAAAAAAAGAAAGCTTGAAAATTTTTTCCCTCACACCGTTACACGTGGCCCTTCAAATAGTGTAACTTTGTCCTGAGAAGTCTTTTTGTACAACGAAATCTAACGGAGATATTTAGGTGTTCTGTTTCTTCGGACTCAACCTGTATAGTACTCCAGTCATGTTAGACAATTGTTTTGTCAAACATTTTATAAAATTCTGTAAACCTGCTTTCGATGGTTGTCTTAATTCTAAGACCATAACGGGACCTGTACCTATAATATTTTTTTTTGTTTAAATAATCGAAAACTAAAAGAAGTAAAAATCTGGTGCAAGGAAAAGTTGTAAACGAAAAAAGTACAAAAAAGTATAACCTTAGGCATCTTTATACACTGTAATTTTCCGGGGATCTTGAGGGGGAGGTGGAGAGCCAGAAGAATTTTCCTGTTTACTATCGCGAGATGGAGGAGGGGAAATGTTGTCGAGGTCTTCTGTAGTTGTCTCACTTCTTACACGAATAAAACTGCGTATTTCTAGAAAAGTCACGAATTGTAAGTTTAATTTGTTAATTGTAAAAGTTTGTTAATTGTATGTCATTTTCTGGGGATCTTTGAGGGGCGGCGGGGACCCAACCTCAAATTATTATAAATACGCATGAGCGATACAACGTCGTCGGCTAGCCGCGCCTTTAAACAATAATAATTTGCGAATCGGGACGCTGCAGAAAAAGTTGCTTACGTGTCTGTGTAGAGAAAGGTCTGCTCTAAATATCCATATTAATTAGAGGGTAGAATTTTGCGGAATTATGAAGATATCCCTTGTCAAAGACTGAAAAGTTTGAAACATGCTTTACTTTAGTATTAATTTTTGAATACATTGTGTACTATATAATTATTAATAGGACTGATTTCTTATCGCAAAAGGACATTTGTCATAGACAAAAATAGAAGAGAATTTAGAGCAATTTATTTGGATGAAAACTGCCACCTTCGGAATGTGCAACTTTAACTCTTAAGATATAAATTTATATCAATCGCATTTTTTTTTATCAAGTTTGATTAATCCTTTCGATATCGTAGTCGCTGGATATTTAGGAAACAATACGGATTTATTCGAATTTAATCCGAGAAAGTTAAGTTTTTGGCCCTGCGTTTCAAAATTTCGCAATCTGAACCACTGTGCGATATCTCCCCTCTTCCCGCTCGCGATAGTAAACAGGAAAATTCTGACGGGCTCTTCGCCTTCCCCTCAAGATACCCAGAAAATGCCAGTGTAAATCATAATACCTACGGTATCAATTATACTTCTTTATTTTTGCAACCTTTCCTTGAACCGGATTTTTACTTTGTCCCGCTATGGTCTTGAAATTAAGCTAATTAAAGACGCAATTTTAACTTTCAAATTTGATCCACTATGCGGCGCTGTTCCTTCAGCGTGAAGTTACCAAGACGTAACAGTACCAACTTTTAATACATGAGCTTTGACTCCCTGCTTCAAATTACGTTGTTCATCCAATGATTTTAAGAAAACTTTGGTGTTACAATAGCACAGATGTATTTGTAGTCTAAAATATATATTTCAGAGTGAAAATTAAAGAGGTCCAAAAATGGACGATAAAGAAAAACTACTGATTCATCCTTGGGACAGTTTGTCTACAATAAACACGTTTGATTTAGGTTAGTATATACCGTAACCTCAGAATACCCGCGAATTTTGAATAGTGTTTCAATCGACCATTCCAAGGGGTAAAAAAGTATTATATTTTCAATGATATCTCAATCGAATGCGATATCTCTAAGGAATTATCTATTCTAAGGAAACGATGTAAATTTCATTTTCATTGCATCTTTCTCAACTAAAATAAATATATGTATTAGATAACAAAAATATGCAACTTTTCTCTGTCTATCCTTTGTTCTTTACTTCAGCGCAAATTATAAGTTGAACTTTTATGATACAAGTAATTATATTTGATTTCTATATTTTAAGTTATATTAAGGTATATGTATTATGTTGTTAGGCAATGATACAAGATCTACGATATGCGTGGACAATAACAGTAACCAGTCCAACAAACAAGTTGTGACTGTAGCTACACCATCAACCAGTCTGTTGATTGAATCTCTTATACAACAACTTTGTACAATGTTCGAAGGCGATAAAGTTCGTAGGAACAAATTGTATTTTGGTAATTTATATGTACTTCTGTAAATTATTAGGTTCTATGTATTCTAGTAGTAATAAGTACTCAGAGAGATTTTTATAGAAATCGACCTTTGTAACATTTATTTCTAGCAATATGCGATAGACTTCATGATATGGAATTAATCGATAGCTCATACAACTTGATGGAATTTGAAACTATAAGAGGACAATATCAACATGCACTGTATCATTTGGTTGCAGTTGCACGTGCAGCAACTGGTTGTGAAAGTCCGCTACACATTTCTAGGTAAAATGCTTGAAATTAATTGTCTGTATAAACATTATATTCAAATAAATAATGTAGCAACCTTTTTATACAGTTCGTTAATAACTGACTGGTCTAGATATCACAGAGAGTTTCAAGAAATAAGTTTCATTGCTTCTGGAGGATTTGGTAATGTTTACAAAGCGCTGCACCGTCTGGATGGTATCGAGTACGCAGTGAAAAAAATTGTGGTGCGTTCTGGGCGAGTTAAAAGCATCATGCAGCATCTCGAAGAAGTGAAAACTATTGCTAGATTGAATCACACCAACATAATTTCGTACAAAGGCGCGTGGATCGAACCGTCGCTACCTTCAACTTTTTTACAATGCTTACCATCTTCGAGTCACTCTCCCAGCAAAATAAATTCTTTGGATAATAAAGGAAAAAACAGATACAAGTCGTACACGAGTCATAGCGTTACTACACAGAGTCAATCGAATAATATTACTAGTTCTAGTAGTCAGAGTAAAGAGGAGTTGGTTCCTAATGAAAGTTACGAACAGGATAAACTTTTAATGCAGTGTGTTAAAAAGAAAAATTACAAATCTGGTATGTACATACAGACCAAAATTGAGGAACAAAAAACAGCGTATCATTAACGAAAGATTTTATGAACTTAACACCTCATTTAACACTGTAGGACGAAGAATAATCGAAGAAAATTTTGGAGACGATTGTATGGAAAAAAATTCAAATAGTATATCTTTCAGGAGCGATAGCAAGAATGAAAATAATAAAACAGAGAATAGTACGAATTCCGACTCTAGCAATTCATTCGAAGAGTCCAATAGCAACAACAAACTTTGTCCATATGTACCCCCAGTGGTTTGTATGAACTCTTCATCTGAACTATCTAATTGGGCAATATTAAATGAAATTTAGTTAGGTGAATTCTTTTATTTTCAAGAATGAACAGTATGCAACATTGTACATCCAGATGGCACTCTGTGAAAAAACTCTTCAGCAATGGCTTGATGAAAGGAGTGAGCTTCCTTCACAAGAAATGATCGTTACTATTGTTACGCAAGTTCTTTGTGGGTTGGATTATATACACTCGCATGGAATTGTACATCATGACATAAAGGTAGCAAAGAAACAATGGATCTATGCATAAAGTTAAATAAGCATACTTATTTCTATTTGACTTCAGCCAAGCAACATATTCATAACAACGTCAAACCATCTCCAAATACAACTAGGTGATTTTGGATTGGCCTGTCCACTGCAGAGCGAAACTCATCATTCCATTCTTGGTACACATACCTATGCTGCACCAGAGCAACTCCAAGGCAAATGCGATCCCAAAGTACTATTTCTTTTTATTGGTCCAATATCAATTATGAAATATATTTTGAATCGACTTCTACTGTTCCAGAGTGATGTGTATAGTCTGGGGATAGTGCTTCTGGAGATGTTAGTCCATACAAAGACCCACATGGAACGAGTAGAGATAATTGCAAATTCAAAAAGGGGTCACTTGCCAATGATTCTGACTGCCACTTATCCTAAATGGGTATAAATTTAAAATAAAACTTACTGTTTCTAGTCGAAGATATATTTAGTTATAAGAACAATTAATTTGTTAACAGGCACACATAATTAGTCAATTAGTGCAAACAGATCCTGAGAAACGACCATCGACGAGTGAACTGTTGCAAAACTTTAACCAGGATAAAGATGTGACGATAGCTCAGTTGAAAAGTGATATTTTAGATAAAGACAATAGAATAGAAGAATTGGAAAGGAGGATAGCAATGTTAGAAACACAAATTGCTAAATATAATATACCGTTTGATGACAGATAAACTTTTGTGCGAATCTAAACAAATTTTTTAAGAAAATTGAATAGTATTATTTTTCTAAAATAAATTACAAAATTGGAGGTGAGTGCATTTGTTATATTAATGTATAAGACATTTGTAAATATTTTTTGCATTGTGTATTTTAATTTAATTTTGTACAGTATTATAAATAAAAGATCTATTCCTTCCTTTATGTTTCCTTGAAACTACAAGTTTCAGAAACAATATGAATGATAAATTTGCTACTGGAGTACTTAATGTAAAGTAATTAATTAAATTATTTAATTACAATCAGATATTGTTTATGGTATGTGATACGTTGATGATGATGATGATGATGATGATGGTAATGGTAATGGGCATGATTGTGATGTGTTAGGTGATGCACAGAAAGCATAGATGGTTGCATCATCCAAATCCGCTATGCGACATATAGCTCTCCGAATTTCAGCTTTTAGGCGCCTTTTATTTTCATCCGAGCGCAAACTTCTCAACTCCATGGCTACATATTCACCAAAAGTGTCATAATCATCTGGTTCTTTGGACAAAATTTGTGCTGAGTCCTTAAAGTCCTTTTCCGCTACGAATTTTGCACGCTTCTTACCTCTTCTCTCTATTACTTCTATAATCTTCTTTTTACTTTCTTCTTCTCTATGGGATGAATACTGTGTAGACACTTTTTCTTTAGATAATTGATCCTGGACAAGGAGGTTATATTTATGCATTTAAGTAATTGGAATGTCATTTGGGAATTCCAAAAATTATCGTGAATATGTATAGTCCAAACAATTATGAATATATGAATATAAGGGCCACAATCAATCACTACCAGTAGTAATACTCGAGGGGATTCCCAAAGATTATTCTAAATACAGGGTGAGGCATTTAAAACAGGCCACCCGAATAATTCGCTTACTTTTAGCGATAGGAAAAACTTACAGGTCCTCAATCATGGATTGAACGACAGTGGTTGAAAACCGACTTACTATAAAAAAAAAAAAAAAAACACGCGAACAACGAAAGAAATATTTAGCTTATCGCCCCATTCGTAGAATGACGAATAATTTGTTTCGCTACCAAATGCGATCACACACACGACACCAATCGTCTAATGAATCACTGCAAAACTTTTTCTGCATATATTTTTCCAGATCAAATACCGGCTTAGTAACACTCTTCACTTTTCGATGGTTCATAACAGCTCGCCTCACGCTCTCCTTCCTCGCCTCCTTGCGTTCCAACAAAGAACGTTTCTCTTCGTCAGTTCCAAATTTCAAAATTCGTTCATCTTCTAGTCGCCGCCTTTCTCGATAAGCCTTTCCGCGGTCAGTCGACGAAGGCATTTTGACGTGAACTGTGAACTGATTACGATTATCGCTCCCACCACTTAATATCTTAACCAATTAGTTACACATTCCAAGATGTAATCAAACACCAATCTACTTTTAGGCAGGACGCAATGGACGATACTCACCGTGTGTAATCAAACGCTAATCCAACACAGTAGCTCAGCACGTGCCTGTAATCAAACGCGAAACGCTTTCCGTAGCGAGCTACTAGTCCCGACGAATCCCCTTTATTCCTTCTTATCTCTACTTCGTTTTTATTTATTCTCAACTTCCGGCTTAACTTCATTCATATCGTCTTTAATCATTTAGTTACTTCCGTTACATAGCAAATGCAAAACTAATCTTATAGCTCAGCGACCAGGGCTGGCATTTTGGGAGGGGAGCAATTGTCCAGGGTGCTAAATTTGTAGGGGGCGCCGCAGCCAGCTGTACCTAGTATGCGAATATATTGATATTTTCTCATTGTCTCTTCTGTGCTATGTAGTTTAACAATTTTTACAATCTTAGTACAGATTCATAAATATTTTAACCCCTGAATATTGCTAAAACCAGCACTGCATATATCCTCACGATTAAACGTGAAGTGATCAATGTAATCAAACGCTAACGCAATCCCGTAACTCAGCGAATAGTGTAATCAAACACAAAGCCTGTCTCTGTTTTAAATGCCTCACTCTGTATAGAAAAGCATTTCGTTATTAACTCAGCTACCCCCCATTTTCGATTCTTGCACTAATTCTGGGACATACCGTATAAACATTGATATCAATTGCTGTGGAAGAAGTCATGATACAACTTACAACATTTGTCACAGCTGATCGCTTTGTCAATCCTGGAATTAAAAATTTCAGAGCTGAGAAGTAAGGCCAGTTGCTGATGTAAGTCTCATCAGAATTATCTCCATCTTTCTTTTTCTTTATCTTATTCAACTCCTGCGATAACTAGAAGAATACTCCTTGTAATTACATTTACTATATTAATAATATTTTATAGTTCACTTACTTGGTTTCGCAAGTTGTGTAACTTCCTATTTATCTCTTCTTTACTAGTATCAAACTTCTCTGCTATATTTAAGATTACATTCACTTTCTTCTCTCGCTTCTTATAATCTTTACAGGTCCTATCCCACAGTAGCGCATGCTTTTCATACAAATGGATGAGTTCAGAAGTATTTTCCCTGGACCAAGTGTACTTCGCCATTTCACAATTTGTATGATCATTTAATTATTATTCACATAGTTACTCTTACAGCAAATTAATAATATATAATACGTATATAGAATTATATACAATTTTATATCAAATATATACTTGTGTAAGGTGTATCTGAACATTGGTGACGATTTTTTTTATTATTTAAAAAGAGATATTTTTCAAATAATAATAATAATAATATGTGAAGTGTAAGTTTGAGCGTTTGAATTTGACGCCAAATTTAGGAAGGAGGTGATAAGAAGGTTGCCTAGGGTAGGGGTGTAGATGAGAGCGGTACAGTTTAGTACAGTTGATTAGAGGCTTTCTGATAAGAGGAACTGATTTATCTGTTTAGGCTATCTGATCGCAATATGCGTTTTGATTGTTATTTTTGATATTGGGTTTAATTGGCAATATTTTAAGGTTACTTCTTCACTTGGAAGTATCTGTTAAGTATTACTCTCGAGAGCAGCTGTCACACTTTGAAGTTGATATCTGCTGGACTGCTATCGAGAGCAGGTTAGGCAACTGTCGGAGAGTAAATATATATACAGTTGAATAAGCATAATGGAGAATAATGTAGCACAATACAATATAATTAAAAAAGCATAATATAGCATAATATAGAATAATGCAGAAAAATATAGAATCAAGGATAATATTAAGTAATAAAGAATAATAAATGTTCAATATTATAGAGTAATGTAGAAGCGAGGATATATGCAGTGCTGGTTTTAGGAATATTGGCGCCCTGGGGCAAGATTACCGGGGCGCCCATTCGGGGGTTAAAATATTTATGAATCTGTAGTTTGTAAAAGATGTAGATTGTAAAAATTGTTAAATTACATAGCACAGAAGAGACAATGAGAAAATATCGGTAAAGTCGCATACTAGGGACACCGAGCTACGTCGCTCCCTACAAATCCGCCCCTTCTCTCTAACGGCGGCCCGGGATATTTGTAAATTTGTATTAACTATATAATCGGATATATTTTTGTGTTTTTAATTAAAATTAATTAGTTTCTGTGAGTAGTAAAACTAACACTAAAGTAGAATCCCGATTATTTCACAAGATTATTCCAAACACCTACATTCCAAACATAAACATACAAATATATGAATAAATAAATATACGAATGTATAAACTTCCACAATTAATTTCCACCCCCAAACACGAACAAAATCGCCAAGTAACCTTTCAGCTTCTCCCACAAGTGTCAGGAAAAGCAAAAAATGTTACCCACTTTTACATTCCGTTACCCACGGGATCCTTTCCTTCCTACATATTTCAAAGAGCCTAAAAATCAAAAATAATGATAGCTCGATTTCGATTCCATTATCAAAATCGAGGGGTCAGCTGTGTGTCACTAGGTCGTCTCGTAACGGGGGTACACATGCGCGGTTCATTTTCCGCTAAACTCTGGATCACCTGAAGCTGAGGAATGACAAGTATAGTGATCCACGTACCACTGTTATCGGCGTTCAAACGAATTCGAACGACAAATAGACGGAGAGTTGGATAATCGATGATAAAGTGACGAAAAAGTGCAAGCTTGTCAGAGAAAGATTCAGGAGGGGGAAAGAAAAATTAAAAAAAGAAAAAAAAAAGAAATATGAAAGAGGAAATAGAACAAAGTGAGATTTACGAAGACAAGACTGAAGGTATCTGCGTTAAGGGGTCCCTGATAAGAGGCTGCAATAGATTTTGTGGGTGGAATAAGTAATGAGAAATGAGTGAAGGGAGAAAGTACAAGGGTAATAGAAGGAATCCAAGGGTTCGAGTGAAACAGAAAGGGAGGGGGTGGGAATATAAAATAAAAATAAAAAGCGGATAGAGGAGTTGTTGTAAAGGAATCGTAAGAGGCGGAGAAAAGGGGGTAGTAAGAATAAACGTAATCTGAAGGAGAAGTTAAAAGGAGGTTAGCAGTGACGGCTACGGAAGGGGAAAGGGGAAAAGGGGTGAGTTGACTGGATGAGCACTGCGCAGCATCCCAAGTGTCGAGAAATATTCTCCGCGATAGCGTCGATTTCGGATAGTGCTTGTGAATCGAGTGAAAAAGTGATTTTGTAACATTCGTCGCTGATAAATAAATAATCATATCCTTATTGGTCACGTAGGATGATAATGTAGTTGATTTGGACCGGTAGATTAGAATTGTTTCAAGGGTTGTTTTTTTTTTATTTTTATTTTTTTTATTTATTTATTTTTTTTAATTAGATGAATATTAATTTAGCGATTATATTTTTCATACTGATTAAATGTTATCTAAGGAGCTGCATTTTTTATATCAATTAAATATTAATTTAGTGATGGTACTTTTCATACCGATTAAAATATTTTCATAAGAGTTGCATTTTTTATATTAATCAAGTACCACTTAATTATTTATTTAGGGTTATAATTGTAACTATTAGTTATATAATAATTCATATTGCTTATATAATATATTAATTCATTCGTATTTATTCTTATATAATTATAAAATTATGAACTGGATTTCGTTATATTAATTATGTATTACTTTAGAAATTAATTTAAAAAGTGTATTGTGTGGTCATATTTAATATGCCAAGGATAGTGGAGATTGATATATGCAGTACTCATCAATAAGAGAAACTTCCATGTATGTTTTAAAGTTGATATCCATATCCATGTCCAAAAAATGGAACATCCTCCACAATGGAGCGCCGGTTCCACGATAATGCGAATCTTTTTTTGCTTTCGCGGATATCTTGTATCGTAGTTAAAAAAAAATGCCTGGTACTCTTACATCTTGGACAATGTTTCGAAAAATACCATACATGCCTTAAATATTAATATTTTTGTTTACTTTTTATATTATATATATATATATATATATATATATATATATATATATATATGTAATAATCTACAACCAAATAAAAGTGTATTTTTTTCTATATTATAAATTAAAAAATATAGTATTTTTACTTTACGCTAAAGGAAGAATTTCATAATAATTAAACGCACAATGAAAGTTTAAGGTAATAAAAATCAGGTCGACTTAATTTGCAGTTTTTGATAGCCGGATGTCGAGGTGCAAGAACCTGATGAGATGACGTCTTGTTTTATTTGCTGATGCAATTTCGGAGGATGCTTCTCAGGATGAGACTGCAGCAGGTCTACCTTCTGCTGCAGATGGCATACCTAGTTGTTTGGTAAAAATTCATTTATTTTGCAAGCATGCAAAATCAACGAAAATGCGTTTCATACACCATAAACAAAATTTGTTCTATAGTAAAATAGTCGCAAAAATATTTCACATTGTCCGATAAACGCGGATAAGATATTTGTAACAGTAACGAATTTGAACGAATAACAAATGTACGTATTGCGAAATTTCCAGGGCTGGTTTTGAAAATACAGGGATGTCCGACAGATTGGAAAATGTGACACAAACAATATCTCGAATTCTCAATGGGTACGATATCCGTTTGAGACCAAATTTTGGAGGCAAGTATTCTGATTCCCCTCCTCGATAATCGATATTCATTAGAAGTTATTCAAATCGATTACAAACTAGTTTACTAAATTCACCTAAAATTATAAATATTCATATACCACTTGTAATGCATTCTTTGCTTCATAAATAAAGGATCTCATTTCATTATTATAAAATAAAGGGAATTTAAAAAAAGGGGACATTTATTCTGATGCTTAATGATACTAATAATACTTTTAATTTTCCTTATTTCGGCTTTTTGCTAATACTAATTTAAAATTATTTCTTTGCAGGAGAACCTTTGTTGGTAGGGATGGACTTAACGATAGCAAGTTTCGATGCGATTTCAGAAGTTAACATGGTAAATACGTTTAATTAATTTAGCACGTGACGAATAATTATTAAAAATCTGTTTATAATACGTGTATTATGGAAACTACAAATTGCAGGATTACACGATAACGATGTACTTGAATCAATATTGGACGGATGAAAGGCTAGCATTTTCCCAAGATGAAGAGACGCTCACCCTCAGTGGGGATTTTGCAGAAAAAATTTGGGTCCCAGACACGTTTTTTGCCAACGACAAAAATAGGTGCGTGTGAAAAGTATCTAGAAATCTTAACTTCTAATATTTTATATTACTTTTATATTTCTAATATATATCACATATTATTTTATCATTGTATCATTATTGTATTTCCATTTTATATTTCTAATTTTTATTTATTAATATCGATTAATAAATATTAATATTAATATCTAATAATAAACTATGTAGAAATTTGTGTTGTCCCGAAAGGGGGAGTCGCCCTATTTGCGTTATCGTTTCAATACAATGTATACACTTATCTATAGATCAGTCTGATTTTGAATCCCATTTTTGTTTTTTTTTTTTTATCATTCTTGTGTCTATCGTATAAAAGTGTCGTTTTTCTTGAACTTATCGTTAATTTATTGCATAAAAAATTGACAAAATTAAAGAAATCACAAAATAAAGACACTCGTGCCGTCTGTGAGAATTTCTAAGAAGTCGAATTCAAAAAGCTCCCCGCTCTTCGTTTGACATTAACTAGCTTTTCAAATTAGTTATTTATAGTTCCTTCGTTATTAACCAGCTTTTAAACGAATTATTCTGCTTTGGGCTGGACGAGGTAGGGATGTGGCTGAGAAAGAAAATGTTGGTTTTACGGTTTTTTTTTTACAGTTTTTTGCACGACGTGACCGAGCGTAATAAACTCGTCCGGTTGTCCGGAGACGGATCAGTCACTTATGGCATGAGATTCACGACGACCCTGGCCTGCATGATGGATCTACACTACTATCCGCTCGATTCGCAGAACTGCACCGTAGAGATCGAGAGCTGTACGATCGGTGTTACCTTTTCTTCGACCCCTTTCCTTTCCATTGATCATTAGTTCCCTCTATTTTAACGTTATACTCAAGGTTTCCAACAAAGACATTAGAATTTAAAGACTCGTTCCTGTTTCAATTGACACGTTGATCGTGCTTTTCATTGAAAAACGAAAACTATTCATTCTGAAAGTTAAGTGTCATAGAAAATGAATTCAAACGAAATACTTGAATTTTGATGAAGTTACAGAACTACGTATCAAAATAAATGTTTCATCACGCAGCTTCCAATAGTCTGTAAACAAAATTTAAACACGATAGAAATTTTCAAGAGTTTTAGTCTGGCAGCGAACGTGTTAAATAATGCTACAGAAACAGAGCGAAGTTGCCGAATGACATTGATGTAGTAATATCTAATATATTTGTTACATCTAATTTGTCTAAACGTGTATCGTTCTCTTAGATGGATACACAGTGTTGGACGTAGTGATGTATTGGAAGGAAACCCCGGTGCGTGGTGTAGAAGAAGCACGACTGCCACAATTTACGATAACTGGATATGAAACGAACGATCGCAAGGAGAGACTGGCCACCGGGATATATCAGAGGCTTTCGTTGAGCTTCAAGCTTCAAAGGAACATCGGATATTTTGTTTTCCAAACGTATTTACCCAGTATACTGATCGTGATGTTGAGCTGGGTCAGTTTCTGGATCAATCACGAAGCAACCAGTGCCAGAGTAGCTCTTGGTAAAGAATCGTTTCATACTCTTTTTTTTTTTTTTATCGTTCGATTACTTTAATAGGAAAGCACTCGGAAGGAAATATTTGGCATGCGTATTATTTTATCTCGATTTATGAATTTGTCAAATCAATATTGTAACGGCGACACCTCTACTCGCGCGCATTTTATATATGTTCGTTTATAATTTTATCTTATTTTGTTTAGTTTATTATATCGTTTTTTAAACGAAAGAAATTTACCTAAAAGTAGAAATTCTCATTACGAAATAATATTCAATTTATGCGATACGTGTACATCATTTATACGCTCATTTATTTATTTATTTATTTATGTGCACATTTTTGTTTTATTTCGTAGGTATAACGACAGTCCTAACAATGACTACGATCTCAACGGGCGTACGTAGCTCACTGCCACGTATCAGCTATGTGAAAGCTATCGATATCTATTTAGTAATGTGTTTCGTTTTCGTGTTCGCGGCTTTATTGGAGTACGCAGCGGTGAATTACACATATTGGGGCGCCAGGGCCAAGAAAAAGATGAAAAAGAAGGACACCGACGATAAGAAAGTCATTTCGTCCAAGTCAGGCGAGCATTTATTATTTAGTTACACGTTACGGAGGATATGGACATTTATTTTGTTTATTTTTATGCTTAAATAATTTTTTTTTAAAATATTCACGAAGTCCTTTTTACATACATCCTGAAACTAAACATTTTTGGACTTTTTTACCTATAGTTGTTGAACTTTTTATATTGTATCCTTGTATATCGAAAAATTGTACACGTCCACTGTGAAAAGTTCATGGAACAAGACAAAGAAAGAAGAAAATAATTTTGCAGGAAGCAAAGCAAGTTCTCCGTATCCTGGTCCAACGGAAACGGACGTAGCAGATATTCAGGACCTTCGAATGTCCCCTTTGCCGAGCATGAGGAACAGATCAGGCCTGATCAGCGGTAGCACGTACCCTGGAACCATACGAGAACACGATCCTGCCAAGTTCCCCCCGAGTTTTCGCATTTCCAGAGTTGCGGCCTATAATACTCACGGAAGGAACATTGGGCTTAGGTATAGAGGTCCTAAACAACACAAACCTAAGGTAAACATATACAAACTTCGTTACTTTTCGACATTTCGTAAACGGAAATATTATTTATTTTGTTATTGTCAGAGAAAATGTAGAAAATGTACTAAATTTTTATTGCATTTCCCATTGAATTGCCTACTACAAAACTACAATTTACCAAAATATAAAATATAAATTTGTTTTATTTACCAATATATATAAAATTTATAAATTCATTGTACATCTATATAAGGATAAGAAAAGAAATAACGATTATAGGTTTTCCACGCGATAAGAAGAGGAGCCTCCGTGCTGCGAGTATCGATGCCCAAGATCAAAGACGTGAATATTATCGACAAATATTCGAGAATAATATTCCCAGTCAGTTTTATGCTATTCAACGCCATCTACTGGGTATTCTATTTCCTCTGATTTAAACTACCGCCGTTTCGTGACGAAGGACAGAAAGGACCAATTGTTATCAAGAATTTGCATGGGTATTACTAGAGAATAAATTTGATTCGAATTAAAATCGAATCAAAATCGAAGTAAAATTCGATTTCGATCTTTATTCTCGCCTGAAGAGAGTATCGAAAGTACTGAATCGAAAGTTACCGATATTTATGCGATATCTTCGAGAATAGTCGATTTGATCTCGAAGTCGAACGATATTTACGTGAATACGTTCCTAATCGATAGGTCACTGGTTCGAATGGATGATCTGAAATGCATTAATTAAAAATTTATCCTTGAAAAACTACGATGACGCAATGAAAATGATTTAAATAATCGATGGAATTTGAAGCACTAAAAGTTTTTTAATGTATACGAAAATCCTTAATTGTGATCAACAAACTGAAAGTAACAATTTTTCTGAAACGCAAGTTTGTTTGACGAAAGTTATCAACGCCAATTGTTATTGTCAATATTTTAAGTACAACATTAAAAAAGAAAGAAGCATTTGACGGGAACATCAAAGATTTAGTGAAATATATCACAACTAGAGTAGCGTTTGATTAAAAATTGTAATTAAAGATATTATAGCTGATGGATAGGATTACTGTTGCATTATTATAATTACGATTGTTCTGCAAGTTATACGAATTTATTATTTGTTGATCGCCACATACATATATAAATAGGGTAAAGTTGATCAAAATGATGCCTTTAACAACATATGTCAAGATTAAGGTCATCCGTGAGATTCGACCTTTTATAGATATTTACCAAGAACGTTGACTAAAAATCCCACGGGTTAAACAAGTACAGTGCAGTAATGATTTCCATCATAGAACGAAACAAAGTAGTATTAAAAACAAAAGGTAACAAATAATGCAGTATTTTCGGTATTGTTAGACAAAGCTTAACGAATTGTTGGAAAAGTGAGAATACCTGAGCAAGAAAGAAGGAATTGTCTTTTCCTAGAGAATACTTTGCTGAAGCATTCAAAAGTTATCCACACAGATTATGTACCATAATGTTGATTATTTTAATATAAATCCTAACTGTAATTTTAAGGTAATTAAATTACTGAGACTTTTATTTCATTCACAAGAACCATTCAATATATATTTTGAATCAGTGTATATTATTTTGCCTTTCAGCATATGTATATATATTACAATGTTGATAAACTGTAGCACTCTCAAGGTTCCATTTACATTTTATATAATGGCAATGCAACTTTTATTATACTTCAACAATTTATACATGTTCAACTTGAAACATAGCTTCTTAACCTCAAATTCCCATTGACTTCCAGTATAACCTATATCTTATCTAAGATCTGACTTTTGTACCTCGAGAGTTGGCAACACTGGCGTGATACTAGTACACTCTATCAGTCGGTAATAGAACGTTCGCGGAAGAGTTTCGACCATGTGCTCTTATACTTTCACGTGCTAGTGTTTAGTAATTCTCTTCGCAAATGTGATATTAATTTTTCCATTCGTGGTCAATAAAACGTTCATTCATCATTGGTGAATTATGTTAGCGATTAACCTTACCAGACAATAGGTAATATGTGAGAGGCCAGGGAACTATGTTACCTTCGCGACACTTCAAGACTGGTTTCCTTTGCTATCAACAGAGCAAAAAAAGCACATGATCGAGTTCTGTTGAACTTTAAGTTATCGAGCGCCTTTCTCTATGAAACTTGGAAATTTTCACGAGGAAAACGTTCCGGTTCATTTAAAATTAATATTATATCTATGTTTATGTAGTAATACAGTGTTTTTAATTTGAGATGTGGAAAATTAATTGTGTTTCGTTATGAAAAATTATAACTCACTGTGTGGTAAATATGTTTGGGAAAATAGGTGCTTGCTGAGTCGATAGGGTCATTTATATTGATTTCAGCGATCGATATCTTCATATCGAATTGCACAGAGAATGGATAAATCTGTTTCGCGATTGCATCAGATTCGAGAAATTGAAATTTTTTTAAATTTGATGTTAGTTTTTTGAGAATTATTATTGGAATTATGTTTCTTTTAATTCTTATCGGATGCTTTTAGATCTGTTTGGGAATATTGTATATTGTAACATTTTTTGTAAATCGAGGAAGTTATATAAGTCATAAAGATGCAATTTAAGTCTTTAATTCTCGATTGTTCTTATCGCTTGGCGCCTTTCAGTGTAAACAATAATAATGATGGTAAAGTTCAGTTGGATGTTGATATATTATAACAAAATCAAGTTTCATATTTAGTTTTGATGAATAATTATTAAATGATTTATATAATATTTTTTTTGTTACTCGACAAATTAGATTTTTCTTTTTGTAGATTTCAAACAATTTTTCTTTGAAAAATAGTAAAAATTGATTTGCTTCCAATGAAATAATTCTAAATAATTTATACTATAATTTAAAGTAATTTATTTTAATTTCTTTCAATTTATGGAAGTGTTTGGGATATTAGAAGTTTGAAAGTTTGGGTTATTAATTACGTAATTTGGCGTAATTTTGCCTAAAATTGTCAAAGTATGAATATTTTAGTTTAGGTCGGAGATAATTGATATATGTATATCCGATGTTGCAAGCGGGGGAGGGGAACGTTTTCACACTCTACAGATTTCTCGCGTATTCAGCACCTCGTGCATTGGAATTGTAAATAATATTATTGAACAACTGCGTGTCGTTACTAGAATGACGATGATAGAGATGCAGCAGAAAATTTGCCATTTCATCTTTATCTGACGACGGTGTCGAATAAATGACTATGGAGAACGAGGTAATAATTGAAATTATTAAATAATATTTTTATCTCAAGGCAAAACTTGATTTGGTTTTGCTAAATAATTTTAATAATTAAATAATTCACATGGCAATTCTTGTAGCCACAAAAATTTGTTTAAGTAGATTTCAAGAGATTCTACTCCAAACTTTAATGACAATGGTAAATGATTGATGAATAATTTTAAATAATTCATATTATATTTGTCATTGTTTGAAAAATTTGTTTACGTAGATTTCATGAAATTTTACTGTAAAACTTAATGAAAAAATAGTAAAAATTGATTCGATTTTTGATGAATAATTATTAAACATTTTATATGATTTTTCGTGTCGTTAGAAAAATTTGTTGAAGGAAATTTCAAGAGATTTCACACTGTGATAAGTTTCTTTCGAATTATTTTTGTGTGTAACGTTTACTTAATGATTACAAGAAGAATTTATAGTAGGTAGCTATAAAGATAAAATGATATTATATATCTAATACATATCTGGTCAATGATTGCTACAGTGTGTCTTTTTACGAGCTATTGTGTTCTTCTAATCGATTCCTTCCAACGCCAATTAAATTATACTGAACTCTGTAACTTAGAAGCGTCGTTGATTACGAAATCGAACTCAACGTTCAAAAATTCAACATGGCGGACAAAAATGCGGGGAATTATTCAATTTGGATGAAAGTCGATGTCGAAGATTCGAAAGTTCATGTATCTTTATCTGAAGATATCAAATGGAAAACGAAAGTTGTACATTTCAATCAATTAAAAATATTGATAAGCGTTCATTGATTAGGTGCGTGATTTTAGATAAGAAAATCGTAAAGAAACTTATCTGATGCTGAAACAACATCAACAGAACAATATTATCCGCGAAAAATCTACGTTGTGGTAACTCCACTGGCGTTACCAGATTTCATTTTAAATCGCAATTCGCTAAATCGTAAAATAAAACAAATATAAATAACCGACGAAAATTTCGATAGTCTGGAAATAAATAAAAAAATTTAATATTTTACAAGAAATATACATTTGTTTTATATAGAGAGAATGACAAATAATAAAAAATTAAAAATATTAAATAATTTAACACTTTTTAAATGTGCACCGATTGTCCAATAGAATTTAGAGTGTAGGATAAAATTATACAATAAGAAGTATCTTCATTTTATTAGTTACTATACTCTAGTTTTTAAGGAAACAGTTCGTAAAATTAGCCACAGAAGTAACAGTTACAAAATAAATTGTTATCGTTCCAAAGGTGACCGTAAACGTTCCGCATACAGTATGGAGAAAATACTTCGGATGGATAGCAGATATATCCGTGGAGCCCACGATGTGGCTTTACATGATGGCTTACATGATCACCTCCGTCGTCGAACAAGCATTCTTCGTCTACAAATCTTGTCGAGTCGACCATGGATATTCTGAGGAGGTCTGCGCCAAATTAAACGACAACGAAACCATAAAAGCAGCTGTCCAGGTATTTATAAATATTGCTATTTGTTAACGTGCCAATTGATTAATAAACACGCAACAAATTAATATTAATTTTTCCTGAAACTTCCAGGTGACAGTCTCCAACTTCCACCAATGGAACAACATAGCTGGCCACGTGGTGCCAATTATACTAGCCCTGTTCTTTGGGAACTGGAGCGACCGACGCGGACGTAAGCTACCCCTCATTCTAGGACTAATTGGAAAATTTATTTACTCCTTCATGGTCGTCATCAATTCCATGATGGACACCTGGAATTTGAACACTGTTGTCTACACAGCAAGTCTTCCAATGGGGATGCTGGGGGGCGATGTGGCCATCTTTGGCAGCTGCTTTGCTTACATATCAGATGTATCATCTGTGCGTCAGAGGACCTTAAGGATCACCATTTTGGATGTGGTGTACCTCAGCACTATGCCCACTGGTACATATTGTTGACTCATCACTTGTAATTCTTAGATGAGTTGTTAAGATTCAAGCTTACGTGAACTATTACTCCCATTATTCCACTTATGATAACTTTAGAAACTTGTTGGTCGAGTAGATAGTATACTTAGAACCGTGACGATGGTCTCAAGCGATCGCTTCTTTCTATTTTCAAACAGTTTAATTAAGACAATTAAACATCATATAAAATTTTAAACATCAACTTCCTGTTCCAGGCGTGGCTCTTGGATCCTACCTCTACACCAACGTGGCCCACATGTCATACACGACCATGTTTACCATCAATACCAGCCTACTAGTTCTAGCAATTGTGTACTCACTGATAAGACTGAAATGGCAGACGCTGCCACAACAAGAGTCACTCGTAGGCACCAATCTCTTAACTGACTTCTTCGACAAGAAGCACGTGGTAGAAACCATGAAAACAATGACCAAGTCGAGGCCAAACTATGGGAAACTTCACCTGTGGCTTTTCCTGCTGATCATGATGCTCTACACCTTCCAAAGAGACGAGAAACCTATGAGTTATCTGTACACGCAGTTGAAATTCAAGTGGGACGTGACAAAGTTCAGTAACTTCAGAACATTCCAGTCGACCACCTTTGTGCTAGGTCAGTTGAACTGGAAGTGTACTTACAATGGCGTTTATTCTTAGCATTATTTCTTAATCAAAGTTGAGCTCTATGAGCTAAGTCTTGGCTAAGAAGCATAGAAGTATTAGACAAGCAGGTGTTCAAAGTATGTTATCATCAAATCTTACGATTTAAAGGGTTACGATACCCTGATAAAACGGTTTTATAGGGCGTCGGTCCGCTCCGAGGGGAAATCAATTCCCGTCCCGGTCCCCGTTGCCTTCCTATCTCCCCGCAGAAGCCTAACACACATCTAACTTTCATTTTCAGCAATGTTAATCGGAGTTCCAGTGATGACTAAACTGATGGGGATAAAGGACACCATAATCGTGGCAATTGGCGCCATTGCACATGCTGCTGGAAGAGTAATATTCGTACTGGCTAGTGTACCAGAATTATTCTACGTTGGTAATTAAATTTATCATAACATTGTAAATTTATCAAATTTCAAATTCAAAAAAACTGCAATTTTAAAAAAATTTCATTATCAATCTCATAATTAAAAACAAGGGAATGGCAATATCTCTCGTAATCCAATATGAAACATGATAATATGAATAGTAAAATAGTTTGAACGCTTGTAGGTGCTGCTGTGGCTGCTTTGGGTCCTGTCGTCGCTCCAGTCTTGAGGTCCATGACCTCCAAATTGATTCCTGTGGAGGATCGTGGTGAGTGCATTACAAAACTTTTTCGAAACTATTTCCAGGTTTTACGTTATTATTTAATCGACTAATTGTTATTCGTAGGAAAAGTATTCGCCCTGTTGTCTGTTTGCGACAATGCTGTGCCATTGTTCAGTGGGATCCTGTACTCTCAGCTTTACAACGCCACCATAAACTCGGCACCTGGTTCGATCTATTGGCTGACGTTTGCAACTCAGGTCTCTGTGTTGCTTCTTATTCTGTGAGTGAAATATCCAATCAATTTTTGTATACTTTCTCTGTATATATCATTCGTCATTCTATGGGCTTAGTATATAAAGAATATTGTTGAAAATTACACATTTCCACATTCGTGGAAAGTAGTTTGGATCCTTGGCAACATTCAAGGACCGTTTTCGTTACGATTTTAGTTGTTATTAACGAGTTGTCAACGAATTTCGTGTCGAGAACACGTTCCAGCTGTCGTCAATGCTCGACGTACTCGCGCACCGTTTCCAAAAATTGTTCCTAACTATTTTGATTCAATGAAAATCCTATCAGCAGTGCGCATGTTTTGAAGTGATTCATGTTCAAAATTATATACATCTCTTTTTTTTGTTTAGACTAATTTAGTTTTCCACAAAAAACAATCGGAACTTCCGACACGATGAATATATAATCAAATTTTGTTGTTTCTGTTTAGGGTGATACACTTCTCCATGAGAAGCAACGAGCACTCGGAGCACAGGCTATATATAAACAGTGACACTGGCTGTTCATCCGAGGTCTTCTCCCCAGAACTCAGTATTACTACAGATTCGCGCGTAAAATGAAGCTGGAAATTTACAGCGTAGTCTTGTTTGGAATCAATATGTACAAAAAGTTGACCATTAGATGGGCTTAGGAAAAAACTGATGAGTCATTCCAGTAATTCTGAACGCTTTTCTATGCCACAGGACTCATATTTCTTATTAGCAGAATGTTACATTGCCATCGATCGTGTCAGAAGCTCATCGAAACATATTTATTGGCGAGTAGTTACTCAAACTGTTGAAATTTATGCTGTTGATTAGAAATAGTTTTACAGTTTTACTAAAATATAGTGTATACACGTTGAGAAGTTTATTACTCGACTTCCATTTAATAACTTCCTCGTGAAGTTATCTATTGAACAATAATAGTTGATATGTGATATGAACAATAATAGTTGATATGTGGCTTACAACACAAGTGGAAACTTTGAAGGTTCCATCCGTTTCCTTTTATGTCGATTCCTCGAGGAGATCTAGATTTGTTAGAGAATCGTCGAATGAATCATACAGTTGCAAATGGTATGCTTAAAATGCGCATAACGTTAGACGGTGCAGTGATTCATTGCTGAACAGGAGAGGCGATCTTTGCACGCCAAAGTGAGAGATGTTCTTACTTTTTAAAATTTATTTGACGTTAATCGGTTGCGACATCACGTTTTACGTATATAACTTTCAAAGAACTGATTGCTATTCAGCACGTGCAAGCATGTCAAGGACCTGGTGGCGAATTCTTCTCTGCTGTTTAGGATCTTTTATGAAGAACTCACCGTTGTTCTAGCATCGCATATGCACACAATTCACAAGTGCACTCTGTTGTTTTCATGGTTTCGTGAAATGGATACAAATGCAATTACTTGGGTTAATGGATTTTACTTTATATTATATTCTGCAAATGTACAATTATGTTCACCTGGATCTTGCAAAACTTTGCACAATTTACAAGGTCACACACTAATTAATATAATTTTTTATACATCAAATCTTCATGTCTCGTCCAATTTATTAGTAATGCATGTTTTATATTAAACAGTATTAAAAGCTTGTATTGCTATCTAGCTTACAGGTCACAATTTGTTTACCATAATTAAAAAATTGTTACAGACCATCCAATCAAATGAAGAGATTTCTTAAAATAATTTCTATGTCCAGTCCAATCAGTATAAATGCAGGAGCCACTTACTCTTACACAAATAGAATCCTTGAGTCTATCAAAAATCTTTGCCTCCACAAGTTACAATGACTAACCCAGCTCATTACTAACAATTTCTATTTAGAAGCACACGGCGATAGTTTCAAAGAATTGATAAGTTCTCTGAAGAAGCTCTGCAAACAATGGAAACCAGTCACGTCGAGCCCAGCAGGATTTTTGTATTCGTAACATGAAGAGACTGTAAAGTGACTGGATGATTGATTCATCGGTTAGATGATGCTGCAATTCTTTAGTGTAGTGGAGGAGATTTGGAGAGGTTTGTTTGGAAGCTAATTTCTTTGGAAGATAAATAAATCGCAAACCATTTGAATAATTAAAGAAAATTTTTTAAAGAAATCCAAGTCTTAGTTTTCGCCAACCATAATTGCATAACGCTTCCGATGATAGGCAGTAGACTGCAGTCCTGTCGAATTGTTGCGAAACAATTAATTAATTAGTACCAGAAACATTTTTTTTTTTCAACGGTCACGCGGATGAATAGTGATAAATTGGATAGCTTTCACGTTGCGCCATATTTCTATGATGCAACGACCGTCGAATTCCACACTAAATTTCGTGGCGTGTATATGGAAAAACAAGTTTTGCGCTCATTTTCTTGATGCAAGTACCGAGAGCGATAGGCAAGTATTTCGTAATCGTTTTATACAGCGTGGGACAAAAGGATGGCTCATTTTACGTTATACAGACGTTAAATTTATATATTTTATATATTATATTTTTAGGTATTATTATATATTTTTTGTTTTATATTTTGTTTTATTTATCGAGTTTTTAGTTTTGGAATTCAGCTATTTCGAAAATCTTGTGGAAGTGCGAAATTATTGAAAAAAGAGCATCGAGTATATTTGAGATATCAGGTACGCGCTTTTTCGCGCCAAATTTCGTTGCCATATTGGCGAGGGAATTTCACCATTCGAAATTGTTTCAGAACTCGTTATTAAATCGTGGATTTTTGTGCCTGTATGACAAACGAAAATATGGAGAAATCCACTAAAATGTCCATGAATGCAAATAATAATAATAATAATAATAATAATAATAATAAATGATAATAATAAATTCAAAATAAAATAGTCGATATAAGATTAGTCACTTTCCAGTAAAAAAATTGTTCATCGCAACATCGCACCAGGTTTTCTAGATACAACCAGAACGTGCCGGTGGAAGTTCACGCGATAGTGACGTTCGACACGTGACGCATACTCATCAATCATATTTCGATGAAATATATCGGACAGCTAAATTAACCGGGAGACTGGGTATCCTTGAATATAATGTTTCTCTGCTCTCGAAACTGCCAACTTTGCGAGACAATATTTGTTATCCTGCAAGAGATAAACAAAATTGTTATCTAAACAAATAATCTGCGGTAACAAATGAAAGATTGAACGTAAACATTGAAAGATGAGCTTTTAAGATCGAAAATCTTTTGGGTGGTATAACGAGAAAATCGTCACGAAATTTGAAACGGAAATCGAGTTACGTTTACGCGAAAGACGGTAGAGGTATAAGTATGGAACGATTCAAAGTCGAAAAGTGGTTTGGCAAAAAATCAATTTCACTTTAACAATTCATTTTTCAACGGGTTCATTTGTTTATTAGTCTGTTTGAAGTCGCAGCAGATCTTTTGTACTTCAGACGTACTGGTTCGTCGCTTGAGCGCATACGTAATGCGCGTGCGAGAAGGATGACACGAGTTGTCTTTGTATTAAATTAAGGGTATCGCACGTACAATTGTTTTGTATAATATGATATTATTTTAAAAATATAGATTTTACTTCGGAATACGATTTTTATTGTAATTAACATTTACATTCATTTTATATTTACATTTCTATTTATATATAAATAGTATAACGTGAATTGTTCGTTAGTTTAATAATTGGGCCTTTAATGAAGTCGAAACCTTACGTAACTGTATTGGGAAACGTCACAATTGTCCCACGAGCTTTCGTGACCGGAAGGAGAACGCTGTTACGATTTTTATCAAACGTTTACCCTTCCTGTTTGCCGTCAAGTGTATCGCGAACGCAATCCACGATTCGATAAGGATCGCGATTGGTACCAGTGACGTCACTGTACCTCCATAGATACAAAATGGAAATATACAGAGCGGAGTAATAATTATCAACACCTCAGATACATTCGAAACTATAAGTTTCGCAGAAACATTTACTGAAATAAAATTACACACTGTTACATACAATGTAGTATATACACTTGTGTATAATCTGATTAGGTTGCAGCAATAAACTAATGCAAAGGCATAAACGTTTCAAACGGTCTATCATTTTATCCGATCGCTACTGTTTACATTATTTCCTCTCGTAACCTTCGCAAAGCTCGTTACACTAAAGCGATTTACAGCGCGGTTACGTAAAACAGGACGCGCTATTTATGGAGAGCACGAAATATATAAATATAGACACAAAGAAAAAAAAAGAAAAAAAAAATATTAACGTAAGATTTAAATCTAAAATGTACACATAAATATAAACGTAAAATGTAAATATAAAATAAGATGTTTCTCGCTAACATCGCTAACATGATCGATATAATCGAAGATGTAAACGTCAATATAAAATGTAAATACGAAACATGAACGTAAATGTAAATATAAATCTAAATCTAAATGTAAATCTAAGAAAAACCATCCCTTTATACCGAACAATAAACAAAACCGTTAAACCGTAATTTTGCCAAACACTGTACTCGCAACCAGAGTCACGTCGGACACCATTCTTGGTGGAAGTTATAGCGTTCGCTTTCGCTGAATGGGCACGTGCAGGGGGCAATCAAACCACGGACTCGCACGAGTCAGCCAACTCGTAAACTGCCGCTGTTTCGTCTTGCCAGTCGGTTTTTATGCTGCTACGAGAGTAGTCTCGCGAATGGCAGATTTTCCGTGCGCGAATCGCTTGACTTTTTGACCCGAACGATCCTTCTTCTACTCGAGAAGCGATCCTTTGTCAGTTACGATTCCGTGCAACCATCGAGATGCAGTTTCACGTAGCTGGAAGTGTGATTTTCTTGGTGGTGTGGTTTACCCTTCATGGGAACTCCCAGTCCGACGAACCCTTGCCAGCAATTCTGGGGGGCATAGGGAACGTGGCGTCCAGTGCTACCAATTTTCGTGAGTGTTTTTTCGTCTTCTTTATCACTCTGGGTAGTTGTTTTTTTTTTTTTTTTTTTTTTTTTTATTGAAGTGGTCGATAGTGATCGATAGGAGTCTGCGTGGTTCCATTTAGGGGAACTCCTAGACTGACGAACCCTTGCTAGGAATTCTGGGAGGGGGGGGGGAGGGGGCACAGGGAACGTGGTACCAGTACCAACAATTTTTCATTGATTTTTTTTCTCCTTCTGTTTTATTTTTTACTATTTCTTTTAATCGATTGGGGTGATACAAGGATATCTTGATTTCTTAGGAGTCTGCGGACCCTTCTTCAGGGGAACCACAGACTGAAGGGGTACTGGGAGCGTGGCCTACGATGATAACAATTTTCGTGAGACTTTTTACCTCCTGTCTTTTCTTTTTTGTTTATGTTATTTTTTCTCTGCTCGATTCAGACGATAGTGGAATTTCGGTCAATGGGGGTCCCTTTAGAGGAATTCTCATTTTTTTGGTGGGGAGAAGAGAGGGCCCTGTATAGGGAACGTATGAACGAATCAGATCAATTTTGACAGTAAGATTAAAAAAAAAAAAAAAAACAACGAGTAAAGCATCTGCTTTATATTTCGACTCAAACTAAATAAATATCGTTATGTTAATTCTGACTACAATTTTTCTGTAGTGAACGTTCTAGGTGACATTTCGAACGTCAGGATATATTTATAATTATTTTTGTTTTATGTATTAAAGAAATTCATATGTTAAAACCGACTAGAGTTTTGTAATTAATTCTTTAGATCACATTTATAATGTCAGGGTGTTTTTATAAATATTCGTTTACAAATAGGTTGTCATTCATAGAGTCTATATAGAGTGTAATTTGTAATTTAAGCTTTCATCTTATTTGATTTTTAAAGAAACCCTTTTTGCATTCTTTCTCGGGGTTATTTTATTTTCTAATCATATTCTACTTCTAATCATTTCCATAATTTTATGACATTCATATATATATATATATATATATATATATATATATATATATATATATATATA